GTACTTTTCTACAACCTTTGCTGACAAACAGACACATAAATATTTAAACATGTGTGCTTTCTAGATAAAAGATATAGTGGATACAATTCTGAGATTGCATGTTCTCCCTGAGCATTCGTGGGTTCTCTCCGGGTACTCCGGCATCCTCCCGCAGTCCAAAAACATGACTGTTAGGTTAATTGGCTTCTCTAAATTCTCCTTAGTTGTGAGTGTGTGTGTGTGAATGGTTGTTTGTCCTGTTTTCTCTCTGTGTTGCCCTCCAATGGACTGACGACCTGTCCAAGGCGTACCCTGCCTCTCACCCATTGACAGCTGGAGATAGGCACCAGCAACCCCCGCGACCCCACTTGAGAGTAAGCGTGTTAGAAAATGGATGGATGGATACAATTCTTTGAGGTTTGAGTTTTGGGCCAACATCTTTTCCATCGTCATTACTTACTCAATAATCATTCTGCATAAAATGTATATTTACAAGTACTAATATCTACATAAATTGATTATTTAATACATTTTTATAAAAAATAGCTATTTATCAATAATTAGACTGAAGACTCTTAGATGACTTGCAGAGACATAATTTTCTCTTTACCTCACATAACATAAAATCTAGTTTTGAAAGAAAGCATGAACTCTGCACTTATCATCTATAATGTTAGTGTATTTTTGTGCAGAATTAACCACAGTGGTTTGTTCTCAAGTAATTGTTATTATATGAAAAAATGTAATTGTTTTAAATATTCCACTTGAGATTATTACTGTTGCCACCATCTGTGTTAGAGGGGAAAAAATGGTAGGGGTGATTGACCAAGGGCGGTGTTCTATCAGATAGCCATACATGTCAGAATAGCATACATATGGTAAGAGCGCATGCGCACGCATGCGCATTCTGCAGGAGGTCCGCGATATTGAGAGGAGTCGTCAGCTTGTCATACGCGAGAAGAGACACAATAAAAAGTAAGTAAATAAATTAAATTTAATGCTGCTGCAGCTGCTGCAGCTGCTGCAGCAGCTGCTGCAGCTGCAGTAAACTACAAAACACGCCCTGTTTAAATTCACGTCCCCCAGTTCCTTAATATTTTTGGGTTGGATAACATGTCTGCTAACTTGGATAGCATGTCGTGTATGTGATATGTTAACCTGAAAAGCCTTCATGTTCAGGAGTAAGACAGGGAAGTATACTGTCCTCTCACCTTTTTAACATCTACATAGATGAACTTAATGTTGGCATCCACCGTTACCAACATTAAATGAATCAGACGTATGAAAATGCAATTTTTACCCACACTGAAACTGGGGCAAAACCAGTGTTTCACTTTTGAAACAAATCCTTATCTTCATTAATGTATATGAAAAGCGTTCATGTTAATTTTGTTTTTATATGTGCTTTACATTTACACATATTTAGTTTATGCAAATTGAGGTTGTTTTTGGAACATGAAGGCTTTTCAGGTTAACAGATCACATACACGAGTACAGCCACCTGGGTTATGTATTAGTCACTGTCAGTGTGACTTTTGCCTCAATTAATAAAAGACAGGAGATGTTCTTGAGTCACTTGAAGTCCCTGTGTTCACCAGGCGTTGCCAGGAAGGACATGGCATCCACCAGTGTTGTCAATAAAAAATTGGGATCTCTCAATTGCATTTAAACTCGCTGTTGTGTTTTCTGCAGTATTTCAAGAATTGCATTGTTGGATGCACATGCATAAATATGTTGATTACAAGGTTTTTTTGTATTAAATCGGAATAAGAAAGGATGGATATGAAGAAGCTTTCACTACAAACTTTTTGTTATTTATCTTAATTTTGTATTTCTTGTCCTAAGAGCTGATATTTCACAGAAATGTCATATTATTGCAGCACCAGTTGGCGTGTTTAGTAGCAGGAGTAGGTGTGTTTTGTTGTGTACGCAGCTGCAGCAGGGTATTATTATATATTTGAACAATTTGCAGTGTCTAATGAATTGTCTTGTTTAAATGCTTGTTGATGCAATTTACATGTTTTCTTGTGTCATTTATAGCAAACATGGAGTGCAAATGGAATTTCTGAAGGCTCCTACCCATTGACACTCAGCAGAGGGCAGAGGCAAACTTTAAGAAAGTATGCCGAAAAATTTACCATCCATGGTAGGGTTTTTATATCTTAAATAAACATAACATCTTTAACTACAATATTGACATAATATGGTCATTGTTTTAATACAGCTGGTGACCTATTCTACGGAGCCTTACCTGAAAGAAGGGCCATACGGTCCAAAGAAGAGGCCTGGAACCTCTTCAAGGAGTTTCATGCATCCCCCATGGGAGGACACACTGGCATTGTCAAAACACGCATTGCCATGTGTTCCCGATTCTATTGGCCTGGTATGACAGCAGACATTGAGAAATGGGTATGTAACAACATAGTTAGCTAAATCTTTATGGTCCAAAATGTCGTAAAACCTATAAACTGTAATGTTGTAAAGGTGTCTCAATGTGACCGGTGCCAAAGAGTTGGACCTCCCCTCCAAGTTGTCAGAGAACTTCAGTGCATAAAGGTAACCATCCACAGCAATTCATGAAGTTTACCACCTCTAGGACATTGTTGCTGATAACATTGTTGTCATCCCCAACAGGTGTCAGGGGTGTGGGAGCTGATCGGAATTGATCTGACAGGTCCCATGCCCCTGACATCTTGTGGCAATCAGTATATCCTGACAGCTGCAGATTACTTCTCTAAATGGGTGGAGGCTTTCCCTCTCAAGACTAAGACCGCTGAGGAAGTCTGCCAAAAATTATGTTCTATATTTTACCGGCACGGCTGTCCTCAGCGTATTCTCACTGACCAGGGGCGAGAATTTGTGAACACAGTAAGCCACATTTAATACTACATATATTTTTGTGAAGCCTCTGTATATGTAAAAGGTTATAATAATGTGCTTCGTTGTTGTTTTAGATGAACAGTAGACTCTGTAATCTACTTTCAATTCAAAGAAACATAACTGCCGCCTATCATCCTCAAACCAACGGCTTGGATGAAAAGACAAATGACAACATTAAGCGGTAAGAAAGTTATTAGAAAACTTACATGTTTTTTTGTTTTGTGTTATATCTCTTAATAGTTTCTTTTCATTGCAACATCTTTCTGTAGACTTGTATCAATATACAGCTTCTTATAGCTATGATATACCATAAAAAATGCAACACATAAGCAACTTTTACAAATTGGAGTATGTTCTTAGAACATGTATGAAACTGTTCTTCTAGGGCACTGAGAAAACTAGTCAACGACAAGCAAGATGACTGGGACATGTTCCTTGAGGCCACTTTGTTTTCCTTAAGGTCGAAAACCCACACCACCACGAAATACTCGCCATTTTTTCTGATGTATGGCAGAGAGGCTAGGTTTCCTTCTGAAGTTCCTGTTGACATGCCGGTACGATTCTGTTACATTACATGGGTTTGTACTGTTTTTGCATAGAAATCCGAGTTAAAATTTCAGTACTTCCTCAAAAACATACCTGCATTAGCCAACACAAACACTACAGTCTTCCAGATTAGTAGGAATGAGTAATCTGAAAATAACAGGTGAGACTGAGTTTCTTTTAATTTCAGTTTTTTAACTTAACACAATTTTTATAACTACAGAGGCATTGGTGATTTTGGCTGGTAATTGCACTGTGTACCCGGATAATACTTAATTCCTCCTCTACATCAGACATTCTGAACTTTCTTAATACAAAGTTTGATGTCTTGTTAGTTATATTTTGAATGTAAATGTGTTTGTGTTTTTACAATACAGTTGTCTTCTGTAGTCCTACCAGAGGACTACAGCCAAATTATTAAAGACAGAGACAGCAGACAGCGGGACACAAAGATCCAGGTGGAAGAGAATGTCGAACTGGCTCAAAAAAAAATGAAAAAAGCTTTTGCAAACCGGGCACAAAAAAAATTCAAAAATTTCAAGTTCACAGAAGGGGAGGAAGTTCTTCTATTCAACATAAGAAAAAGGGGTAGGAAAGGTGCCAGGATGGAGGCAGACTACTCTGGACCTTATTTTATCCATAAAGTGATAGGGAGCACTGTGATGTTGAAAACAATGGCCGGAAAAGTCCTCAAGACAAAGCATAGCATGAGTCGTCTGAAGCCATATAACAGAGGCAATGAGGGACAAAATGCAGGTGAGGGTTTCATCTCAGGTGAGAAGTTGAATGAAAGGGAGACAGTGATTAGGTACGCAGGCAAAGCAGAAACCCCACTGCAGACAAAGACAGACGGTCAGGTCCATGGCAAGGTCATCCAGTGCTTTTCCCTGTTGTCTCCCTCTCGTCCTCAATCTCCCCCTGCCAAGTTCTCTCGGTTGTCTCCCCCTAACCCTCCAGTGAAGTCTCCCCCTCCAGTGACCTCTCCCTCTCCCCCTCCAGTGAAGTCTCCCCCTCCAGTGACCTCTCCCTCTCCCCCTCCAGTGAAGTCTCCCCCTCCAGTGACCTCTCCCTCTCCCCCTCCAGTGAAGTCTCCCCCTCCAGTGAAGTCTCCCCCTCCAGTGACCTCTCCCCCTCCAGTGAAGTCTCCCCCTCCAGTGACCTCTCCCTCTCCCCCTCCAGTGACCTCTCCCCCTCCAGTGAAGTCTCCCCCTCCAGTGACCTCTCCCCCTCCAGTGAAGTCTCCCCCTCCAGTGACCTCTCCCTCTCCCCCTCCAGTGAAGTCTCCCCCTCCAGTGACCTCTCCCTCTCCCCCTCCAGTGACCTCTCCCTCTAACCCTACCAAGTTGTCTCAGTTGTTTCCCTCAGCTCATTCTATGATGTGTCAGAGTCCTATTCAGCAGCAAGGTGCAGTAGTCACAAAGTTTTCTAGTTTTCTGTTCTGGCCTGTTGGTCATGGGTTCTGATCGGTAGATCAATTTTTGCATGTTGGTTCAATGACCTGTTCCTGGTCTTGTCTGCAAAACTTCCTCTGAAGTTGTGTTGCTTTTTTCAGATGTATAAGTTTTTAAAAGAGCAATTTCTGTTTTTGTTGCAGTAGTAACTTTGGTCTTTGAAAGACTCAGGGCAAGTTGAAGCCCTTGTTGGCCCATATAAATTGTATGACACATCTTTTAGAACACTCTGTGGACATGGCTGGCTGTCAGATGAAGTAAGACTCCATGTTCTGGGAAGTTTATATTTTCACAAGGCAGTCCATCCAGAAATTTATGTTTTTTTTTTTTTTTTTGTCAAACAGGTTATAGATGCATATTTGTATGTGACACTTCAGAAGACCAAGGTACAACATGTTTTAAGGTTAAATTTAATCCACTCTTTGTAGTTTCACATATTTCTTTGAAATTATATTACATTTCAGATACCTGTATACAGAATGGATGCAGTAATTGCATCTTCTGTATTTCATCTTGGGCAATATCGGGCTGTTCAAAAGGTAATTATTCACTTTTAAATCATCTTAAGAGAATGAATGCAAATTAATCTTATTATTTGCAATTTCAAAAGATGGTTTTACCTGAAGACTCCATTTGGATGTGCCCTGAAAATGTGGGAGGTCACTGGCTTTTGGTGGTATGTAAAATTTATTTATTTAACTTTATTTACACATGATTATGTCTATGTGTCACAATCGGATGTTCCCTGGGCAGCATGGGAGGGTGACAGAGGTTGTCTGTCTGTCTGTCTGTCTTATCTATCTTCCAAACATTCCAACAGATTGTCGTGATGAATCACCAAGAGCTAGTAGTTATAGACCATATGGGGAACGAAACAATGTATGACAGAAAGCTTCTCCGTAACTGGAGGTGATCTGATTCATGTCTTTATCATGCATTCATTATGTATTTTGTTATTGTTACAATGTCCTATAATTAAATATTTCTGCAAATGCACAGAAACTTCCTAAAAGCAAAAGGTGCTGGCCGGAGAAGCTGGAGTGTCCGCCATATGCCGCATATGCTGCAGAAGGACTCCAGCAGTTGTGGGGTCTTGGTTTTGAAGGTACAAAGAACAGATGGAATGTTTTGAAATCCATGGAATTATTACATTAAAAGGCATAATTTTTTCAGTTTGCAGAAACATATGTTCAAATGGGAGGGCTGCAGGCAGTGCAAACAGGACCCAAAGACATATCCCAAGCCAGACTGCACATCGCTACCACACTGTATCAACATCGAGGTGAAAGAACAATTACAAAGAAGTCTGGTTTTCCAGTTTGCTGGCTGAATGTTCAGAGATTTATAGCTTTGGACAGCTATGATTCTAAGAATTTTTTGGTCAGAACACATGAAATTTTATTAATGTTGGGTATTAAGAACCAGTTCCACTGTTCTGGGAACTGTGGAAGTCTGTGTGAAACCTGTTGATCTGTTTTGTTAATATTCTAACAATCAAAAACACAAGATGGCTTAGGAGCATATCAACGAATTTTTCATTCCAAACGGAACAAATTTTCCCTTAGGCTAACCGGAACAGTCCAAAGCATTAAAAAAATCCAAAGATATATGACATACTAAATTGCAGTATTTTCTGTTATGTACTAGTATAACATGATGGCTTGTCAACAGAATATAAAGAGGTAGTACTTGACTATTTTTGGTAAAGTACACTCTAAATGCCTTTATTTGTTCCCAGACAAGGTGGAAGAGTACTGTGTGGAATGCAATATGCTTCACTGTAATGCTTCAGAGAACATCATTGACATGGTAAACAACTAAACTGTACAACTTAACGCTTCAAACACATTACACTTACTTACTCATAACTGTTTTCTTTTTCTGTCCACTTCACAGATACAGTGTGACTGCTGCTCAAGGTGGACACACAAAGAATGTGCCACAGACATGGGTGACATGTTCATATGTAAAAAGTGTAACTTAAATTAAACAGTTTTACCCCACCAGGGACAGTGTGGATTATTAAAAATACAGAAGTAAAATGTTCTACATTAAATATAGTACATCATACAACTGATGTCATTGGTATTAATCAGGAAGTCATACAGTGGCTAATAAAGTGTTATTACATTAGCAGCTTTATGACGATCTAACACCGTTTTAATAAAGATGATTAAATATAAAATATGGTGAAATTGCCGTTGTTCTGTCAGATAGCCATACGCTGTCAGGATAGCACACATGCAGTCAGTACGCATGCCCGCGCATGCGCATTAAGAAGTCCGACCGTCAGTGGAGTTGTCAGTTCAGCATACGCAACAAGTTATGACGAAAATAAGTCATTAAATTGTTTATAATATGACATAATATGATAACTACATAAATATACATGCGTTGTCATGGTTTCAAAGTGTATTTAAAGCAGGTCTGGCTGCAGCTGCAGTCAATTACAACACAGGCCCGTGTAAAACTCATGAACCTACTTAACCGCTAAGTCAGGATGCCATATAACTGTTAATAACAAAGTGTATGATGATCTACGTCATGATTCTATGTTGCTGATTAAATAAAATCATATGGTAATGACAACGTATACATGTCTGAGCTAAGCGTATGACTATCTGACAACGTATGCTGATCTGACAGATATAGCCATCAGTTTGTCATACGCGTATGACGATCTGACAACGCATGGCTATCTGACAGAACAGCGGCCATGGTCAACCCTGGCCCCCCATCTAGCTCCGCCCCTAGTTATAGAGAGTTTTCTTTCCATTGGGTTCACTGCCTAACTTGAAGGTTAATCCAAACCAGTCTGAGCCTAAACCCTTCCTCTCTCTCCGATTGTGCTGATGACAGCCTAGATGTGACGTCAAGGCTGATCCTGAAGAGTGCGTGGCAGTCTGTGGGCGCGCGCCCTCGGGGTTTCGGGCTGAACCAGCAGAGGAAAATATCTGGACGATAAAGAAGTTTAAGATGTCTGTCCGCGCTGGCCTGCTGGGCCGTGTCTCTTTCTGCAAGCTGCTCAGAAAGGAGGAATAACCGGGTCACTGGGAGCTGTTACTCCTCCGCAGATTCTCGGTGGAGGAAAAAAAAAAAAACGTTCTACCGAAGTTCTGCCGGTTCTTCACCATGGACCAGTCCGTCGCAATTCAGGAAACTTTGGCGAAAGAAGAAAACTGCATTGTAGTATCCTTTGAACGGCGCGTGGCTTCTATTCAATCCAAGGATCGCGTGCTTTAAACTCACTAACTGGACCGACAGATTGCGGTGACACGACCGAGGCTGAGGCCTGTAGGATTTGGATTTGTCTCTGGTGAAATTATATTGTATCTTAGTCAGTTGGTTTGCGACTTCGAAAAGGGGTCAGTTTCAGTAGTTCGCACAGTTTGCAGAAGAAAAACGTGTTTGGTCAGCTCAAAACAGATTCCCCAAAATAGCACAGGCCTGTAGTTACACATGTCATCCACAAGATGGCATCTTTGCATCATTAGCTCATACTGTTGTTGTTGGGAGTAGTGAGAAGGAGTTGTTAGACATGAAGCAATTGACACAATAAAATTTAAATGAAGGATGTTGTTCTTACCATGCAGATTTCAAATATTTAAATATAGTTTTTTTCTTTCCTGCCAGAATGTTTTTTTTTTATAAACATAGTAAAATAAAAAAATTAGTTTCCTTAACTAAACTTGATCATGCTGCACAATGTGAAATCCTGCTTGAAGATTTTTCAGAAAGCAGATTGCTGGGACTGGTAGAGTGCTCCAAAGAGCATGCGTAAGTTTAAAAAAAATTAATTGGGCTTTTTGTTGTATTGTTCAGTGAACAAATAAAAGGGGTCGTTTTGCCAGAATCCAACACTAAAATGCACAGTTTTTTCTTCTAAATATCTTAAAAAATGTTTTGCAGCATCTTCATTTACAGCCATCGTAGAATGGCCATAACAGCTGACGATGTGTCACTTGAAGACATTGTACCCATCTCCCTGGACTTTGCTGTTGTTGAAGGTAAATTCCTTATACACAAAATAGTTATAAAAACTATTTGTATACCGGTATATATTTATATAATATGCAGTAGTACATTTGTGAATGTGTAGAGCCAAGGGTTGCTGTGTAGCTGAGAGGTGAACTTCCACCCTAGTGTTAAGTGTCTTGCAGCCTCTAACTTTTTTTTTTTTTATATGGGTTGCCCTGTATTTTTACATCAACCTGCCTGCCCCTCTTGAGGAAAAGCATCCTAACAGCATTCGAATTGATGTGCATTTCATTTCTTTCCCCAAAGGATTTTGCATATATTCAAAAGGATTCAGATTTGGTCATGTGAAAAACACACCTTCTCCCACCTGTTTGCTTTCTCCTCTTTATGGCTTCTTCTTGCCACTGTTCTATAAAGTGCATCACTAATGGATACCCGGTGACAATCAGGGGGTTTTCCCACCTGAGATGTTGATCTTTGAAGCTCCTGCATAGCCTGGCCAGTAAAGAGCTGAATTTCAAAGGCAGGACTAACAGGGTGTCAGTGTCATCAGGTTAGAAGCACTTGGATAACTACGGATCTGGATAGAAAACTCCAAGCAACCCACTCTATTTTTATAATTTTGTTGTCCATGAAACATGTCATGGCAATAATAGAAAATACATCCTTTTTAAGAAGAACTTGACACTAAAGCTCTGTTGTCGAGGTTTTAAAGTTAGATTAATCTCCCTTAGCACATCAAACGGGCATCATTAAAACATTGCTTCATTGTGGGTACCATCAACAGAAAAGTAGAAAGGTGCAGAGAGTGATGCATTCCACGTCCTGCACTTTGATTGGTCCAGATATCTGGCTGGAGTCAACGGTGGTCCACTCTGGTTAACCTTTGCCTGGCAAGGTCATCATAGACATCTTACTTCCTCTCTGTTCAATGCTCTTCCTGCCCTGTCGGCCATCATTGTCAAGGCGGTTGCTTAAACATCACTCAGTGAGAGTTTGGAAACTTGGAATGTGGTTTTATATCCCACGCCTACATTAGAATAGATGTAGTGTGAACTTCATTCCTGATCTATTAAATCTGTTTGCATATAACAATGTAGACATAGATGTTCTCTATGTATAAAGGTTACCTCTCTTAAAAAATTGGCTGCACCAGACTTTTTTAGGAATATTATACTAGGTATATGGGGCTCTGGATGCCTTTATGTCGGTCCTGGGCTCTGCGGGGCCAGTCTGGGTCCACTCACACCTGCTATTGAGCATATTCTCATTCAGAAGCAGCCTTGTAAACCCATTATACACGAACATACTATGCAAATATACCACAAGCATTTGGGTAAGGGTGTCCACAGATAAACACTAACACTCTAATATTATGCTGCAACTAAAGGTATATAGCTATGAAAGACATTGTATAATTATCAAATGTTTTGGTTCATATTTACATGTATTGACCGGGTGTCTATGGGATGCTTGCTCTTTTTGTGGCTAGTATGAAGTTATTTTTTTGTTGTTATTTTGTTCATTGTTTTCTTTCCCTCTCTAAGGGACCTAGTATTTCTAAAATTTCAAGAGGTTTAGGATACTTCTGCTAAACAAAATGTATCTTACTTGTACTTTTAATGGTTTTATTGGAGGTTTTAAAGCTGTAAAACAAAGACGGCACATTTACGTCCTTTAAGCACCCTGACATATCTCTTATGCTGCTTCCTTCATAGTTTCTTCAGCCGAACAGCTTGTGGTTGTGGGTGAGTTGCCCTAGTTTATTTGAAACCTCAGACATATCAGACACGACAGATCTAGCATGGAAGACATTTTGCAATATTCTTCTCTCTGCTGTCCTCTGTATCTGATTGTAGGCGCCGACACCAGAGTGAGAATGAGCTACAAGGATGAAGAGCTAGAGCTCACGCTTCCTTTTGGGTCCCAATCGCGCCTCTTCCTCTGTGAAGTCAACAAGGCGTGGAGCGGTAGGTCGAACTACGATTACACAATTGTCTGCATTTAAAAAAAAAAAAAAACTTTATAGGCTTTGAAACATTTTAGGTAGCAAAAAAATAATTGAATCCTATAATGTTTTTGATAGGGAAATAGCACAGATACTATGTGCTATGTGACAAAAACATACTATGAACAATGATGTTGGAATTAGGCAGGCCTTTATTTGAAAGGGATTCTCTGTTTGCAGGGATGTGTCACATTCAGCATAAGCTCCTTACTTTAACAGTGGAAGCATCACATGAACAATACATGAGAGAGAGTTTGCTGCACTCATAGTAGGGCTGCAAATGCCTTCCTGGGAAAGATATCAGCATGTAAGGAGCATTTTGTATTTTTTTTTTCCTAATATATATTTATCCTTTTGCCACCTCCTGTTTTTCTTAGATGTTTGCAGGTCCCCCGCACAGGTTCCCAAGTTTGAGTGGATCAACAAGTACAAGAAGGCTATCAAAAGCCAGGAATCTGTGAAGCAAGTCATTGCACCCCTGGAGGAGTTTTCCAATAAAGTCAACCAGCACCAGGAAATGGGTTTGTCATCTCCATTCTATTTGTTAAGAGCAGAAGGTTGTGAAAATCTTCAAACTCCTGACTCATCTCTTAGCTTAAATGCAGATAGGAATGACACACAAGTTTCTGTTTCTTTGGCTTTCAGCTTTGTGCTTTGAAGGCTAGGATAATAGAAACTGTTGATATCAAAAATACCACTTCCTTTGTATGAAGCTGCTTTGACCTTCATGAGGTTTTGTACATGGTCACGTTGCAGGTGAAGAGACACAGACATATTAAGCAACAACCACTAAGGGAGACACATTTATTGGCAGCCCTGGTTTAAAAAAAAAAAAAGCTTGGACATAACCTGGAGTCTTTTAATATTGTATGATTATTCATACTTTGAGCTAAAACAAAAAAAAAATGCTTCTGATTTTGTAAATAATTGTTTTATTTTATTTATCTTTTTGTCCAATTTGTAGATTTTAGCTTCACATATAGTTGGCATACAGTCCCAGTTAAAAGTAGGGTAGCACATTGTAAGAAAGCCTTATGAATGGATAAATTTGGAAATTCCATTATTATTATTATCATCCCATTAAGTGCCATTTAATGTTTCAGTTGTAATATGAGACTACTTTCTTCTTTCCTCTCTGTGCTTCCAATGCTATGTGATATTTAGCATTTTCCACAATGCTATTTATATCCAGTTTGAGGATGTGCAGCCATGCGACATCCAGCTGGCTAAATATTATGTTAGCATGTAAAATGCAACTTTATAGCATGAAACAACTACTTACTTAAAATGTCTTGCATGTTTACTTTTGTATTGGTTGGGTGTAAAAAGCTTTTTCGAGCATTGCCTTGATACAGATTGGTATTTTTACCCCCTCATGACCATCCTGGTCAGAGAGCATGGAGAAAGAGATAAATACGGGTCCCTGTTGACCTTGTGGCCAGTTTTTAAACTAAAGGTGCGTCTATTTACACATTACAGAAACAGATAAACATCTTTTAGTAACTACTAGTTCTAGACTCTGATCATATTATAAATGTGTTATATAATAAACATGCTCGACTCAAAGTATCTAAAGTATTGCGTGAGATAATGAGTCTGCAATAAGATAGGGTTTTGAACCTTTTTATTTAGGGCTAAGAATGATTCATTTTTAGTGCATCAGTTCAGGTGACCCATGAGAAGGGTTTCAGTGAAACATAATCAAATGCCTTATTTAGACACTGTTGCATGTTAAGTTTTTTATTTAAACAGAGAAGCTTGCAGCTATCTGTGTGCAGAGCTTGATTGATTGCAGATATGCATACATGGGCGTTTGCATGCAGCGCTTGACCCACATGCAAAACAAAATCGAATTGAAAAAAACACTCAGAGGCAGACCTGTGCAGAAAAAAAAAACATTTGTGGCCAAATCATCTACTTTATGCTTTTTATTTCCTTGATTTCTTGTAGTATTCAAATTTGAATACCTCATTTGTAATTATTGACGCAAAGCCCTCCACAGTTTACTTTTTGCAGCTTGTTCGGTATGCTGCTTTTTTTTTTTTTAGCAGGGAAA